AAAAAAAATTATATTATTGTATTAAGAGAAAGTTAAGGGAAAATGAAATTATAAGGCAAAAAATTGTTCAGGATGAGTATTTTCAATTTTACGTCTGGATACTTTTTCATTGAACCAAAGCTTCCATTCTCGCCATAAAGCCCCATTAGAAAATATAGTAATTAAGTAAATGCCAATTAAACTAGTTAACGTTTCGGCTGTAAACATTAAACCAAATCGAGGCATATATTTACTTGCAATTTCATTTGCACAAGTGGTTTGTCCTTTGCCAGATTGAATACAAGGTAACCATTCATTAATAAATTGTTTATTCTTTGTACCTTCAGCAATGCTAATTAATTCAAGGTAATAAAATAACCAATAGAATATTACTGTAGTCAAAAATATAATCGCTAATAAAAGTGCCCTCCACTGAATCTTAATTGCTTGTAATACATGGCGATGATGTGTCATCATCATTTCTGAGAAGCTTCCATTCGAAGCTTTGGCTTCGTCTTGTTGTGAAATCTAAAAGAAAAAAATATATAAATATATAAATATATAAATTGTAATGATGAGATTGTTTACAAAAAGGCCATAAATCAATTAAAATAAATAAATACCCTAAATATATGAACAAATGTGGCTATATGTAGAAAGAAACTCGGAACGACAACAATCGCCATAGGATAAAAGAATATAAGATTAGCCAATCCTACTTTGACAAAACAAAGCGTAGCAAATTGATAAACGATTGAATTTGTTGCTAATGCTACTACAGTTAATATTAATGGAATTCCCCAGCATATAGCGTAAATATAAAAGTATTTATTGGTCATTATATTTGAATTCCATACAGTATGGATGTGAAGGTTAAGAATTATAACTCCAATCCACAAAGTTGCTGCATGTGAAGCAAAAATAAGTAAAGCTCCTTGAAGTCCACAAAAGAAATGATTATTGTTTTGAGTGCTAGGAATTATATCACCTACACATTGAACCTGTTTTGGGTTTCCAATAGAAAAAAACACATTGGAAGAATATAAGAAAATTGATAAGGATGCAAAAAGGATTAATATACTAGGATGATTTCGTTTCCCTGGTAAAACTAGATATGAAATTAACATTATCCCTGATCCAACAGCTGACAAGGCTCTTAATATTTGTGTTGCCAAGAAACCTCTTTCCATCTTATTTTGTGGATATAAAGCGTATGATTGAGGACAAGGAAGACAACAACCATTTCGACAAAGATTGTTATCCAAAACTACACTTTTATTAGATTCAATCCATTTAGGGTCCTCAATAAGAGGGTTGAAACATTTTGGTCTAAAAGAAATTTGTGGAGAACTATTACATTCTTCTGTTGGATACTTGATATCAAATGGTGACGATGCACCAATATTACCATTACAATCCCGAGTGAAGTACTGGGATGATTGTATGTACGTTTTAATAATATCTTGAGTATCCGGTGAAGCTCTATTAAGACTAGTTACACAAGAATCGAAAACGTTTGTACATGTGGACTGACAAGGAAGCACCAAAACGGTATTGGCTTCATTCATTTAAAGAGAATCATAAATTTAGATTAATTCAATTATTCAATTAATACAATTCAATAAGTTTCATAGTACATAGTACACTCACAGTCAGTCACTTTGCATTTTGGAAATGCAGTAGCGCATACAAAACTTGTGAAAGCTTGTACGCAACTGTCAAGGATGGTATCATTAGCTCTGAGTATTAATAAACCTTGGGCTATACTAAGTTCTTTAAGAGAAACTTCTATGCTTGAGATGTCTTGTCCATTTTCATGCGCCACATAATCGTTATGTGATATGTAATTCTTTTTTATGGAAATTAGTTAAAACAAACTTCCCATAAATAATCAATCGAAAAATAAATAATATTATTAACTATACTTACAACACATACACCACCATCTTGAAAATAATGACCGCATTCTGTATTATAGTTATAATATGGGCCTTGAGTTAAATGAAAATATTTTTTATTAAAAAAAAAAAAAAAAAAAATTACCTTGTCCACGAACACCAACTAGCGTACAAACCAGTAACAAAACATATATGCACTGTCGTATTGTAAACCTCATATTAAGAAGTTATAGAAAATCGGGCAAAATTTTTATAGTAATAGAGTTTAAGAATTAAAAGGAAAAAAATTTTTTTTCTCTTTACTTTCGCAAAAATAAAAGAAAAAAAAAATTTTTTTTTTCACAGGTGTTTTATAGAGTTTATTTATTTGATTTTTTCTTTAGGTTGTGCTTCATAATAGGATCGTTAAAAAATGTATAAATTTTAAATACATTTTACCAGTTTGTATAAGAACTTCTTTATTTCATTTTAATAATATGGATTTTCATTTGAAATATGAACGCGTTGAATCAGTTTACTATAAAGCTATTTTTGTGATTCTCCGAAAAAAGAATCCATTTCAGGAAAGACTTTCGAAATTTCTTACCGCAGCAAACTACCTACTATTTTCTTATCAATAAAATTCTTGGAAGCTTTAGAAGAAAGCAACAGTTAATGGAAAATGAGATGCTCCGAAGCTTTATGATACTTGCTGACGTTAAATATTTCAAATCAAAGGTACAAAGATTTTAAAGTTTGTATTAAAGTAAGCCAGGTTTGGTACTTTGTGCAGATCCGACACAAGAAAACTGCGGGATAGTGTTTTCAAATTGAGTTTTAAACATTACAGAAAATCGGAATCATTAGCGTTAATTATCATCCCCCTTTACTTTCTATATCTTCAAATACTTTTGTGAGCTTCGCGAAGGTTTCTTTTATGTTTTCCTTTTTTTTGGATTAAATAAAGTAAATGAGCGAAATGATTTTCGACGATATTCGATTTCTTTAACGAAAATCCTGAGCGGAGCGGATCATTATAATCCCGAGAGAATATCTAAATTATAGTGATTTTTTATAATATACGGACGGTATTTATCGGTGTAAACTCTATTTTTTTAAAAAAAGTAATCAATCAAGATTTCCATGTTATTTATCCCAGTAACACCAACATTTTTTCACCCCCACGTGACCAACTTGTCGATAATCTTAAAAATAAAGAATAAAACTTTGGGCGCAAATGTTATATATTTTAAACTTATGTATTATATGTATTTTTGTCCGCTCTACAAGTTTACTTAGACAATAAAAGTAGGTTTTGGACATGGATTTTGACTTTTAATATGAACGTTTCAAAATAATTAATTTTACAAAAATCAGCATTTAAAAGCTACTTTTATTCTAAGATAAAATGAGGTATAAAGCATGATTTAAGATTAGATAACGTCTGTAATAAATTTTTATTAATAAATAAAAAATTATTTCCCGGTAAATTTTGATTACCATATTTGCAAATGATCTGCATTTCAGTCACGTGGGGGTGAAAAAAGTGTTACTGGGGAAGATATTTCATAGTCGCCAGTTTACTTACTTTATTTATCAAGATAATAAGCCGTCAATTATTAATATAATTTTATGTACCATCTTATTCTTTACGAGAACAAGGAAAAAAAACCAAAAATATATCATCGTTGGCGGGTAAAATTAAAAAAAAATATATATATCGATATATAGTATATATAAAAGCACAGAAGTATATTATTTTATTATTTTATTCAGTAAATGGTTATCTTATCGTCCCACAAAATTGGAAAATGAACAAAAAATGTACATGTTTGGCTGAGAATTTTTTGCAACGTAAAAAGGGGGGATTGCATTACATTATTATGCATCAAAGTGTCGGCTCGGTATGAATGAATATTATATCCCCTTTTGTTGTATTAACAAAATCTGGTTTATGATTACTTTTCTTTTTATATGAGGTGTACCAATAAAAAAAAAAAAAAAAAGGAAAAAAAAAAGGAAAAAAAAAATTTTTTTTTCTCTAGTAAAATGAAAAGGAAAAAAAATATATATATTAAATTATTTTTCAATAATTGGAGTTTTATATTTGTCATTTATAACAACGAAAACGCCAATTTCCCCTGGATTATCGCAAATACGTGGGATAAAGATTCCCTCGTTGTCACAGTTGAGATTGAAGAAGTTATACTTCATCTTGAAAGTTTTGCTTCCGCCATCTTTGGTTGGTATTACTTTCAAGGTTGATGTGAGATCATGAACGACACCGCATTCATCAACGATCTTGAAAGTGCACGGCTTGTTATCTAAACCTTTTGTGAAAAGACCTGCGATCTTTATATCACCACATTCATCCTGAGCAAAGACGATATGACCTTTGATTTTGTCATCGAAAATTGCCTCTGCGATAACGCAAGGACAGTCTATATCAAGTGTTCTTTTACCCAAAACATTTCTCATTACTAGACAGACGTGTCGTTTATGAAGAAAGGTTGGTTCATTATCTGCTGAAACAGTAGTGAGGAATAATAAGAGAGTACATGCTAGGAACGCCAAAGATATAAAACTTTTCATCTTAATTCGTTATGTTTTGTATTTCTTTATTTTTATATGTATATATTTTTTTTTTTTTTTTTGTTTTTTTCAAAAAATTAAATTATTGGGGAAGGAAAAATTTTTTTCGAGTGAATGTACCTATTTATAAGCTCAATGAGAAATTTACGCCAAAAGAATTTTTTATTGTTATTATGAGAGTTACACGAGAAAGTGGGTTTATAAATAAATATCTAAATTTATTCAAATGTGTAATTACACATAATCATGTATGTACAATTATTTATAGTTACGAATTCTAAAGGTTTCCTGATTGTAAAAGCGACATTTCATTGATCTGGACATATTTAGATTACTATTTGTTTTTTGTCAATCGTGTTAATCAGCCCAATATCTAATATAAATTTTTTTTTTAATTATACGTTCATTATACTCCCGAATTGAGATTAAATATTTTCAACATAATGACAATTCTACATTTCAATCTTTTCTTTTTTCTTTTTTGTTTTTTAAAAATAAGAATTAACGAAAGAAACGTGTTTCGGAAGTGGCGTTCATGCAACTCCGACATTTGTTACTCAAACACTCGAGACGAAACAAAATTGTTTGACAAAGAGTTGTTACAGTTACATAACAATTTGTTATAAATAGACGAACCCCCTTCCGAGTACCAAAAGGAAGAGTGTATTGTATGTTTGAGATACATTCATTGAATATTCCTATTTTTTTTTTTGTTACATTTTTTGTATAAATTTCATAAATGTGGCGCAGTCATGCTGTGTGATGGGAATGGGATATAGCTAAGAAAGATTTGTTTAAAAAATATATATCAGTCTGTGATCCAGAAAAATACTTGTGACCATATGAATTTATGTAACTTTCAAAGTTTTTGATAATACAATATCCGTTAACACCACGCGAAAAAAAATATTTAAAACTTAATGGGAAGATAGAAGGTTAATATAACAAGATACGAATAATAATATTTTAATGAATTGTTCCTTTGAGTGTCAATGGAAGAGGGTATTCTTTAGCGGGAATTATCACATACGCATTGAATACTTTTTCTTAAAAAAAATTATTTAAGCTAAGCGAAAGCAATGTCCAGAAAAAAATTTTGCAAGATATATTTTAAATTAGGTTTGTTATTAAAAGCCTGACCATGGAAAAATGAAATGAAACTCGAATGAAAATGAAACAAATTATCAATTCCGCTTCTTCGTTACATATATTAGCACTATCACTTTAGCGACATGACCACATGGCTTTTGTAGCGTTTGATGGCCGACTTGTAATGACGTTTCGAATGATTTCACGCGAATGAAACAAGTTAAAAAATGAAAGGCAGTGTAGGTTTTTGGTATATTCGAATGCAGTCGTGTTCTTCCTTTATACATAAAAATTTTTATCTTATCAAATCCCCTAACCAAATTAACAATAATTTAGGTTCGATTTTGTTGATATTTATATCACTAGTTCATTATAATGAAAATACATAATAAAAAAAAAAAATATTTAATCAAAAAGTAAATATTTATATAATTGTAATGATCGTAAATTAAATGATTTTGATACAGTTCATATACTCTTTGAAAATGAAAAAAAAACTACTAAAAATATACTATTCAACTAATAATAAAATATTTTTTTAAAATAGAAAGATTTATAAAGATTTCATAAGATAACCTATAATTACTATTGAATGAGAGTTTGTTCTTATTATAATATCACCTTTTGTTTTATTTCTAGCAGGTAATATAAAGCTATCATTGTATCATTTATATATTTTTTAACTTAATTATTATTATTATTATTTTACTATTATTTGTTATTTATTTATTTATCTTATATAATTATAATAATATTTAATTTAGTTAAAAATAAATAAAAATGAGATGGAAGTTTAATTATAATATATTTAAATCAATAAACTTTTATTTTGGATAAATAAAAAAGCTTTCTTATATAATATGTCTTTTTAATAAATTCAATTAATAAGAATAATATCAATATCATTTTATATTATATTTAAAATATATTTATTTATAAATAAATGTAGAAAATTTAAAACAAATTTAATCATTTTATATAATTTATTATAAATATATTTAAGTAATTCTATTTAATTAAATAAAATGATTACATTATTTACTTAAAAAAATATTATTATTAAAAATATATAAATTTTAATTTAAAGTTTTAATTAGATTTAAAATTCAACAATGTTCTTTACAATTTATATTTTATATTAAAATGATTTTATTTTATTAAAAATAATTAGATAAAAATAATATATTAATTAGTTTAGAAAAATTTTAAACTAATAAAATCAGTTATAAAAATTAGAAAAATTAATATATTTATATGAATATATTATTATGTATTAAAAAAGCATATTTTCAAATGATTTAAATAATAAATGATAAACAATATACTATTTATTTACTTTTATAATACAAATTATTTTAAATAATTCATAAAATTATAATAAAAATAAAAACATTTATTTAAATTAAAGACTTTTATAATTTTTATAAATATTATTATATAATATAATAAATATATTGTTAACATATATTCTTTTATTAATATCTTATTAAATTAGATAAAGTAATTATATTAATATATATATTTTTAAAGAATAATTATAATTTATAAATTATATAAC